AGTTTGGAGAAGCAGACAGGAGTATCGCCACAGAAGCTAAGCAGTGCACTGCTTTGGACGGTGGCAAGAGTAAAATGTACTTAAGCCACCCAAAAAAACAATCAATAAGTGTTTAAATGTGCCTATATTCAAAGTATTTGTCACTTAGCCTTGCTGTCAGCTTCAGTTCCCATCTATGCTCTCTTCACAGCCAGACTCCATTAAGAAAAACTGTAATTTTACCTCACTGAACACAGGAGCTGCTGGTCTATCACTGCCTCGATTTGTTAGTTTGTTGGTGTAATTGTGAGACTTCTGCTAATCCCAACTAACCGTTTTAAACACCAAAGTCACACAACAACACAAACAAACTATCTGATTGAGGTGGATATAGACAAACAGCTCCTGTGTTCAGCCATGTTAAATTACTGTTTTTCTCATTGGAGTCTGGCATGTAGAGAGCGATAAAGAGAGTGATCGATAATGGCGGTCTGACAGCTAGGTAAAGTGCTGAAAATATTCTAAATATAGCATACACTTAAACTGATATTGATTTTTTTAGGTGGCAATCATGCCTGCTTCTCCATCTGGGGGCATGCTGACCGCCATCTACTGACTATACACTGACTATAAATAGGTACAGCATACAATTCCACTAAAAAATCTGAACTATCCCTTTAAAACCACCACAGCACATTGTTTTAGCGTCCCTGCTTAGAACACATCTGCCTTTGTTTACAGTATTCAAGATACTCGTTATATGTGCACTGCCCCCACACCAGCACTGCAAACATACCACAGAAAATCTGCGAAATAACAGCTGCACTGCAGAATCAACAACGTATCACACAGTGGCTTTAAGTCATAAACACACGTATTGTACTTCAATGCATCGTATGGTGTCTTTAATTCCACAGTCTGCAGTAAGAATCTCACTGATTGTGTCACTCAGCAGATTTTCGCACTGATTTTGGCTGGCTGTTAAATAAAGGAGATTATCATCGTGGGGACCGTTAATTGGAAGCCTGTGAAATCTGGCAAATGCTCCCTTGAATTTGATCGACAAAAAAAGTCAGCAAACAGAATACATGAAATAAAACAAAAAATGTCACACGATTCAAAACACAAGCTCGTCTAAAGTCTGCTTGTAACTTAAAATGTACAGAATTCGTGATTAAATTCTAGATGACTGGGAACACAACAAAAAAAAAAGGACAAATTCAAAATACAGTAAGGGGAAGAATAACAAAGTCAAGTGCTTCAAACACTCAACCTTGACCTCTCGGAGAAATATAAAGTGCAGGACACATTCAGATGCAGAGAGTTCCCTTCTGCGAACAAACGGTGAAAGTGTCTGTGGAGCGTTCAGCCCTTTTCCCCTCCCCTCAATACTGGTGCTTTTCATCTCGTTCTCAGATGTAGAGCCAGGAACTGTGAATTTTAACTTCTACAGAGCACTTGTATGAGTAAACTGACAGTTGTGGTTCGGTACAGATGGTGAGAAGCTGGTTGAGAAAAACCAGAGACAATAAATACAGAAAGCCCGTTCAAGCTCTGAGGCTTTGATGGTGTGAATGCCTGATAAAATAGCTGATAAAATAAACATAGGACGAGGAGAAGCATAATTCAGGTGATGAATAATAACCAACCAAACTGACAAACGAGTGTCCTCTTTACACCTTACATTACCATGCCTCTTGCCCCCAGTAACACCTGGCTATGGAATTCACATTTACACTCGACACCCAGATTGTCTTAAATATCCTCATAAAATTGAGCTGACTGTGCCTCTAAAATGTGTGTCAGCATCAAAAGTGCTTTGTCATGTTAATAAACGCTGATCTGTTAAATTGTTTTACATCCTACAAAGCATGCACTGCCGTCTTTAGCTTATTATTTGTCTTTGTCTTGTGTTAAGAAGCTTAAATCAATGAGCAATTGACTATTGCTCCGAAAGGCTGAATTGTTTCTGTCCCAGAGGACAATACGAGCAACCAAGTGAACAATTGCTGTCATCCTCTGTTATTGTACGTGATTTCAACTGATTCTCCAGTAGGCAATGCATTATGTATACTTGGTGGATTCATGTGTGCACAGATACATGAAATCGGAACGTCAAAGATGCATGTCAATGGCAGATGTAAAGGAGGTAGTCGGATTACTTGCGCACTTTAATGGCTACTTTAAGCCTCTCCAGACAACACTAGGAATACTTTTTGTTTTTTAGAGAACCTAAAAGGAGCTGTATATGATATTCAGAGCATCATATAAAAAGAAGATACAGCGGAGTAATGGCGTCCTGAGCAGAGAAAGCTTCTCTGTTCTTTGTTGTCAAAGACGGCCCGGCCGTACATGAATATTAAGAGCATGCGAGTCCCTGCACTGCGCTCAAAGGCCAGTTACCGCAAATAGCGATATCCATAATATCATTGTTGCGGAAGCCTAACGCACACCCTCCAGTCCCCCCCAAGGTTAACACTGTTAGCTCTGTCAGCACTGTTACTTAGAGCTGGGTAACTGTACTTGATATCTTTAAGGTATCGACAACATTATCCAGTACCAAGTAGCACCAAAGCTACTTTTTCTTTACCCAAATCTGCTCACAGCCAATCACTGCAAGCATTCTTCAGTTTAACACAACATGTGATTGGTCCACTACCACAGCAGCTACAACCCATACAGTCTGTAGTGTGATGAAATTAACCGCCGTGTGTTTGACAGAGTGTGCAGTTGAGCGTGCAAAAGTATGGCTATACGACACGACTGTAGCATCTGGTGGCGTTTTACACAACTGAATGATTCCATTCACCTGATGGGTAGTCGATATAAAGGGTATCAAATGAAGCACTCTGTTTGTACCAGTATCAATGTAAGGGTACTGGTATACCCAGCCCTCTTGTTGCTGTTGTTAGCACTGTTTGCGCTATTAGCACCCTTAGCTGCTAGCTGCCGGCTCAGCCACCTCTGTGCCGAGAGCCATGTGCAGGCAATCCCGGCTTAGACTCTCAATCACAGATGTGCTCTGAATATCGCGTAGAGCTCCTTTAAAATGACTCTTGTGCCATCTTACAAGAAGTACATACATTACATGAACTGTACCACTCCTGAAACTATCACATGCTCTGACCTTTGTATACCTATCAACCTGCTGTTACTGTTCAAAGATAACCATTCATTTTTATTGACTTTAAGCAACAAGAGAGGCAGCTCTTGATGGCCTTTCCAGTAAAACACAGAGTGGTAACAGTAAGGTAATGACACGATAATGTGTGATAAATGCCAATATTTGCACCATACGCTACCATCTTGAAGCATCCCTGTTGTCTGCTCATGTTGGAAAACTCTGAGCCAGCTAACTGAGCTGCCCACACACTGCATTATTAATCCTCTCCTGATAATGAGCCTGAGAGACCTGTGGGTTGTACACAGCTCCATACATCAATCAGTTGTGAGACTGAAAGCTGTAAAAGCCAAGGCCATGTAAAAGCCATGTTTTTTACTCCTAGACTGTAATTTGATTCTGGCCTGATAGGTTATAATGTGTAACTCAACCTGGAACCTCTTTCCAAAGCTTTTCAGTCCAAGTTACTAATGGGAACAAAACTTTTTGAAACAGGTCCAGTATTGAGTGAGACTGCGGAACAGGCTGCGATGTAAACACTTGAACATGTTCACACTCGTCAATTACGTACACTTGAAGTTCTTGTTTTTGCCACTGACAGGCTCAGATTATTCAAAGTGTCCGACAGCACTGTGGAAATGATCCCGACAAAGGCAGACCTTTTTGTTAAAGAGTAAAATCCTTTTTGTTGAACCAGAAAGAGCCCCAAAATCGCTACAGACAAAACCCACCAGACTCCATTTAAATTAACAGTAATTTTAGCGTGTATAGAGGCAGCATATTTTCACATCTAACTGCGTGAATTACGGGTTTAATTCAACCAAACCAGAGTTGGTGATTGTTGAAACAATGAAAAGACAAACCAAGTAGGTTTTTTTGTTATGGTTGACTTTGAATGAAGTGTGTTTTACAACCATAAACTTACTGATTATTTAAAAAAGTTTGGTGGGTTTGGGGATACTGATTTCAGAGCGGTTTCTGGTAAAACAAAAAGGATTTTACTCTTAAACAAAAAGGTCTATCTCTGTAGGGATCCTTTCCATAAGCTGTCAGACACCTAAAGAAATAATTGGAGGCTGTCAGTGGCAAATAAAAAAGCACTTTGAGGCCCAGGTTGCAAAATGCGAGGCCCACCACACTGCTTTTGTTTTTCTTTAACTGAAAGCCACTCATAAAAAAACACTTGCTGCATCTTTTTACTGTTGCCAGGCAACCACCCCATCACGTCCTTACACTAACCTTCCTGGGTAATGAATAAATCTGCCGTCTTTTTTTTTTTCACAGTTATTAGTATCTAGTTCCTAAAATGTTGAGGCAGAGGGTACTTGCTGTAGCTCTAGTTGAAGGTGAGAGGCTGTCAGTAAATAGGTTGTTGGGCACAGGGACACAGAGATCTGTGTGGGTACATGGACCCTAAAAAAGAGGGTGGATTACGAGGAGTACCACCAGTTGGTCCAGGAGCTTCACCTCGATGATGGCTGTTTCCAGGCATATTTTAGGATAAATCGGGGGCAGTTTGACAATCTGTTGTCTATCATCGGGCTGTATAGCTCTGGGTATTCAGCAACCGCTACCACCAGTTTCTCCTCCATTGTTTACCAACTGTAAACTTGTCGTGCTTAGAAAATGGGAAAAACGAAGATGAAAAAGAGATGACGTGGGGCACTTTCCGCTTTTTTAAACTCAAGGAATTCAAAGCGCTCCAGCAAAACACCATGCGCCTAGAGTCCAGAAACGCAAGGTGCGGTGCAACACAAAAACCGTGAGCAAAAAGCTTCATAGTCATTAGAAACAATTACAAAAACGTCACTAGCTGATAAAACGCTTTCTGTGTGAGCTAAACTTACAGTGTGAAGTGGTTACATTGCAGCCTGCTTTTACTTTACTTTACATTAATCCCTCAAACACAAAAACATGGAAAAATATGGTCCAGGTTGAAAAGTACTTAAGTTACCCTTTAAATGCTGAAGAAGACACAAACCCAAGTAACCTCAGCTGCATTTGCGCTCTCTGTATTCATTACAGATTCAGACATTAGGCTATAAAACATAGACAAGCTGCTCTTTGCTCATGAGTTTATAGTTTAGCTTTTAGCAACTCAAAGAAAAAATAATAAAAACATGCGAGGCCATGGATGTCTTTAAAAAAAATTCAACAGATCACATCCACCGCACGACCACCGTCTCTCTGTTTACAGTAGTTACTGTATACTGCCACATGATCAGTTAGTTAAATGTTACTTTAAGAAACTTTGCCTTAACAATTGTCAAGCACAGTATAGCAGGCCATCTCGTCTTGTTGGCCATTTCAATAAAATGTTCACCATTAACCAAAATTTGAACCACAAACAGGATACAAAGCCACTGATTTGTCAGTAATGTGTCTTATGATTAATTTCAAGCAGCAATAACGATACTCCTCAGACATCCACCGACCTGAGTCCTACCTCGGGCACTGGATTTGGTACTTTACCGCTCAAACACTTGGTTTAGTATTCGTTGTGTTGTCTGGATTTTGCTTCTGTTTTTCTGGAGAAATAAAAAGAAACAGGCTTGAATGATAAAAGAACTCCATCTGTAAAACCAGCGTTATGGCACAACACATGCATTTAGCTGGCGAGGGACACCACAGGAACCAACTCATCAGTGGCCAACCACAGCGGCATAAAATCAAACACTGAGAAATACGTCATCGGTAAAACATTCTTTCCTGCAGTGTAAGAGACCAATCATGTCTGCTTTTATTCCTGCTCTGCACTGGTGTGTTTCAGCCAGGCCTGCTTAGGTGGCTCCTAAATGGGGAGGCGATGGAGATGGAGGAAATAGCAGAGGCCGATCCTACAATCCCTAGGAGGTCTCCATCATGCGTATATCGTCCGTTTCTGTAGTGTCGTCCTTTGTCCACCTCCCTGAGCTTGTCCACAGTCCAGCCTCTAAACAACGCTTCATAGGATACTCTGCCACCTAGTGGAGAGAGAGGAAGATACGGGGGTCCGATGACAATCAAAAACCATTCACAGGTGAGGATTGTCATGCACATATCAAAATCAAAAACAGATTTAAAAGGAGCTGTAGAAAGACTCTGGGGGATTAACCTACTGTTGCCTTGTTAGTGGATTATGATGGTTATGTAACTGCACTTTGCCTCTTAAACATGTAGTGCCCTAATCTGAGATGAAACTACGACTCTGAACTTGGAATTCTGCACACATCTTGCCATGAAGGAAAACAAATCTGGGAGCTTCTCCTGCAAGCATTCTCCTCCAACCACTCCTCAGAGACTGACTGAGAGTTCAAACGGAGGTGAAGGGGAGCCGCTAGTTGAGGAAAACAGCTCAAATCCAAAAGCAGGACCAGATGAGCCAAGCTGCGCTTTCAACAAGCTGGATCACATTCCTGGGTAGCCATCTTTCCTCTGTGGGAGAAGGGGGGGAGCTTTACGCTTTTCTCTGAGTAGATACTTGGCAGCTCGTCAAGCTTTGGGGCCAACTGAGGGAAGGAGGCCTCATTCCGTCCCCAGTACAAAAGGCTCTCAAGCTACAAAGATCACGTTTAGTAGAAGAGCCTGTGGAATATGCTATTTGGCAACTTTCACACTCTACTTAACCTGAATGCTGAGACAAATAAAAATGTCTTTCATGTATGTTATTACAAACAACTCAGAGGTCAGGAGGGGCATTTGTCACTTATGACACATCTGTCACATGCAACTCCTCTTTCCTTTAAAACGGCGGAGCGGTTAAATTCCACTGATACTTCTAGGAAAAATAATGATGCAGAGAAATGATATCTGGGTGGGGATTTTTTTTGCTATACCTGACCAGCTGACATGATGGTTAGGAAGCAGAGACAAAAACTGAAGGCAAAGGTAAGGATATTATCTAGTGTTTGGACTTGCAAAAGTACGGTACATGCAAACATGCATACACTGCATATTTAAGGGTAAAATAATTTATTCAACCTTGCAATAAATAAATTAGGCAGCACCCAAAAATCCAAGCTAATTTGGCTCAGCAGTTTCAGGTAAGATTTTACCAAATTTGCTTTTCTAGTGATTAAAGTGATGCTAGTTTTAGCTGTGTCTGCATAAAGTGCATATAGCTCAGCACTCAGTGATTCTTCCCTCAATGTGATTTAAAAGATTTCATTTTAAAAAGAAGTTTGAGACACATGGTTTTTTTTAGTAAGGAAAAAGACAACGTCCACTGTGGTGCTGTAAAACAGTGTCAAGGTGTTACTGCAGTGTGATTTATGACGCCTGACAAATGCCATTTATCATCTATTCCTTATCAGCGAGCACATTTGACCGAGTCAGGTAAAAACTAAGAGTTAAGATGTCCTATCAAGTTTCTGTTGTGTGAGAGAGGTCAGGGTTTCAAATTAAGGAAGACAACAAAGGCTGCCTGGTCTCACTGATAACATCGGCAACATGACAAACTGCACGTCCTGGTTTGCAGGTAAAGGAATTTTGGCAGCTGCTGCGGCCACAAGTGTAAACTCAGGTTTTAATAACTCCCATGAATCCTTACCTCATGCATTGTCGTGATGTCATCACATGAAAATACTTTCTTGCATATTTTGTGGCAATCACATAATTAAGAAATAGAATATAGGTGCTGAAGCTTCAATGCCAGCATGCAACTACAGATGACCCTTTTGAGTTCTATATAATCACAGGACTAACATACAATAGCTCAATGGTGCCATCTAACAGCTGTGTGGTGTAACTGCAATAGCCCATGCAAAAGAGAGGGAACACTTACTTGAGGTAAAGAGGCCAGGGCTTCTTTGGGCTCGAGTCTACAGTTTGTGCCAATTTTCTGTTGTTCAATGTTAATAGGTGCATCACTTCTAGACCTGACTGCGTATTCTTTCACTCTGTGTTTGAAGGCCTCGAGCTCTGTATGGAAGACTTCTAGGTAGACGTCTTGTCCTTCCTACACAGCAAGCGAAACAACAGTATTAGGAGAACATGCTGCAACATATCTTAAAAGAAACATCTTTCTGAGGGAGAATTAAAGGCTTACTTGGGTATTTCTTAACCTAGACCCTTTTTTCCCATGTGTTTGTGTCTAAGTGATGAAAGGGAACAACAATTTTTGAAAGTGGTCCGGGATTGAGCAAGAGTCTGGGAGGTTTGCTGACCAGGATTTTGGGTCTGCTTTTGGTTAAACAAAACTGATCTTACCCTTCAACAAATAGGTCTATCTCTGTGGGCTCCTTTCCATAATGTTGTCAGACACTTAAAATAATAATCTGAGCGTGTTAGTGGCAAAAACAAGCAATTATAGTGTAAACCGACAATACCCATTTGCCCATTAACATTATATTGCAGCCTGTTTCGCCGCTGTCAGCAGTAGTGCTCCTGCTCAATACTGGACCAATGTCAAAAATTGTCTCAATTAGTCACTTGGACACAAAAACATTGAAAACAGGGTCCAGGCTAAAAAATTCCAAAGTAAGAAAATCAGTCAGGCAAAGAGCCTTGAACATGCCCCTGTATACAGCTGAATGAAATTCACACACAGTATTAACTGGATGCTCATGTCTTACTTTGGCTTTGTGGAAGAACTGTCTGAAACAGCCTCGAGGATCCTGCTGAGAGTTCGAGGCCATCTCCAAGATGAACTGCATGACTACAGCTTGGTGTGCCACCTGCTCCATCAGCGCTTCTTTCTGCAGGACAATACACAGTTTTTAAAGTCATGTCTCAGATTACTTCTTCTATCTATGTAATTACTGAATTCTAATAGCATAGCAAGTGTGTTTACAGCTACTGAGTGATATAAACTCACTGGGACATCACTGCAAATGTTATTTGTCAGCATCTCACTAAAAATGACAGCACAATGGTAAAATCTGGACTTCCAAAATCTTTATATTCTGTGACACTGCATTAGTTTAAAACTGGTTTTGACAATTACAACCTACATATGGGACTAACAAAGCAGAAGAGGCCATTAATTTATTTGGAAACTAATCCTCTGAGCTGGCATTAAAGGAAAGAGGAACAGCTAAACATATCTGACACCTGAGTACCAAAGACCAATTTCAATAACCAAAAAAGTAGCCAAAATTGGTGACCAAAGAGAATGTTTAATGATGGATGAACTGTATTTAGCTTCAGTTACATGGTCCTGTTTTTTTTTTGTTTTTTTTCGCATGCTGCCTCACTGTCACAGCTTACTGGGACGCTTAAATAGGACAAAACCATCATTAGTTATTAGCAACATCTGTGCTTTTCCTACTATGACAGGTCATAATCTCTCACCATGCTGATTACACTGCTGTGAAAATAACCTAAGTCTAAGCTAAACTATCCACAAATGTTCTCTCAGTGTCTGCAAATGTCACTGCACATGCTCAGGCATGTGGCTCCCTGTTTACACTGCTTTTCTAGTTTGACGAGCTGAGAGGAACCAAACTGGCCATCATTCATCACGATGCAGCAATATGCCACCTGCTGCAACAAGATGGCTTTTATGCCACAGAGGCATAAACTATATCCGGCTGTAATGACACAGACTATGAGGTTTTGTTAGTAATAAAAAGATAGAATAACACCAGCCTGATTCTTTCAGTACATTACCCCTTCTTGTTGTAGTCTCATGCACCACAGAATTAAGTAATTGGCCGTTTCCTCGCAGATGAGCTGAGGCCTCTCTGCAAGGAACCGCTGACTGTCGTCCCATCTATGCAACATACCTGACAAGCGGATACAAAGCAGTTCATGTTATCTGAAGACATGAAAATCACCTGAGAGTAAGAATTGTTGTGTCTTGTTACCTTAGAATGAGCCAAATGACCAACGTAGTTAGCAGCCCTTCCACAATGAGCCAAACAGTGGCAGAAAATGCTGATTTTTTTAACGTGAGACTGCTTTATTCTGTTTTTGTTTTGTTTTTGTTTGTTTTTTAAGCACCAGCACATTTTTTTTGCAGAAGAGACCTCTGTGGACAACTCAGCTCCCAGTAAAAACCATGAACACTGAGGGGAGGCTACAGGGGAGGTCAAACTTGGCACACTGGAGAAGTTTCAGCTGGTTGCAATCTGCAATCCTCACTGCTAGAGTCCACTAAATCCTACACACTGCTCCTTTAAAACACTGCCAAAAAAAACTCCTGTTTTGTGAGAATGTTACTTAACTAGGTGTCAGCAATATTCTATCAAACAAGAGTATGAAAGTTTTGCATCTTTAGGCAGTTAAGCTCAAATAGTACGGTTAATCTTTTTACCTTTAACCTACAATTGGAACACCTATTAAAAAGTTAGTAATCAGTGCCTGCTTATTTGTGGTAACATCAGAAACAATCCAGCACTTCTTCTTCCACACGAAAAGCCCGTACATGTAGCCCATATATTACATTTGTCCACATAATTTTTCAAAGCAGTCTGTATGTTTTAAGACTGATTTCCTTCCCTAAACTACAGACACTTTATGCTTATGGACACTTTTTTGAGAGAGGCAATTCAACATAATGACTCTACAGTTTTTGTGAAAGTCACACTGATGGTATGGTAAAAGCTGAGAGTACGACTGGGCCGACTCTCACTTTAAGATTGAAGAAAAAAAAGGCCCCAGCTGCTTGTATTTCTTTCAACCAATCACAATCGTTCTGGGCGGTGCCACAGCAACGGTGCGCTTGCAAAAATATTGCTGGGGGGAAACAGGTTTTGGTGTAACCCGCCCACAAAAATAGCGCCTACAGGATGTGAACCATGGCAGAAAAATGGCTACATCCCCGCAAGATCCAACACCGCAAAAGTTAGTAAAGGACATGTTGAAAACTGCTACACAACCGGAGGTGGTAGGGCGGGACTTCAGCGGGTGGCTCGTTCCGCCCAATGAGAGGCTGATCTATGCAGCGAACTTCCGCCCACTCAGACTACTCTATAACTAACAAGGGTCAGGGGTTTGTTGAAAACTGTAGGGGACCTGCATTCTTCTACCACAGTCGGGTTTAAAGTATGAAGAAGAAATTCCCGCATAAAACTTAATCGTTTATTTATGCACATGACAACTAAATATGATCTATAACATTAAAACTAGAGAAGAAGCCTTGTCTTAACATGCAACAATATTAAAGCAACAAGTTGAGTAGCTAAATTATGACATTTTATTTAACTTTACTAACTTACCATTAGTCTGAGGACAGGACAGTTCTTATTAGAAACTTCAGATATGGCGCCTCACTTACCAAAATGCCTGAGCTCTTGGTCATATTTCTGGAGAAACGTCTTGCATTTGTCCTGCTCCATTTCCACAGGTTGACTTTGGACATTAATGATACTCTGGAATAGAGAGAAAACATTAACCTACTGCTGATAACTTTATTATATGGTCAGTAGACATTAGGTACACACAGTCAAATAAGAATAAGATAATGTTAACAGACATCAACACAATATAATTTGACTTTTGGAATATTTCAGTCATAACAGAGGGTCAGACATCAGTCATGATTTTGTTTGCTTTTAATTTTCCACCACAATAGCTCACTTAATTAAGTAAAAAAGCCAAAGTGTTTGCTTACCTTATCAAAAACGTCCCAACTTCCGACAGCTCCGAGCACAGGACTGCGGCTGGGTCCCTGACTTCCCAGCATGCTCTCCTTGCGGCGCCACTCCTCCTCAATGTGCGTGAGTTCGGTGGGGCAGGCCAGAGTCCGCGCACGTTCCTGCTCCAGGGACTCGGAGCTGTGGACACCTAGGGAGCATAGCTGGTCCTGGGCCTCAGCCAGCCTCCAGCTGGAGACGATGGAGGCCTTCACACAGCGCTGCTGGCTCTGGCACAATGACGCCATGGGACAATCACAATGGTGCAATGATGATGACGACTGGTGTGAGGTGCGATGGAAGAAAAAGAGATGAGGACATGAGAGAATGGCAAGATACTGTCAGAGACTCAAGTCAAATAACAGTAAATCTTCAACATACATATTTATTACATACATATAACCCTTTGTACAAATTGGAGCATCATACATTTCCTGTCTAGCTACTCCAGTGTTTGGTACATCTCAAAAATTACCTGCTGCTTTCTATTTCCTCCTCCACAGGGCCATGATGGCGAAAGCACTTTGGTGTTAAAGGCCTTTTCGCACCTACCTTGATCGCTCCAGACTTTGACTTTTCAGTTTGATCCGAACCCAAATTACAGGTGTGAAACCTCCCCTGGACCACAGTGAGGACCAAACAGCCGAACATTGGTCTGACAAAAAGAGGTGGTCTCAGTCTGGCTCAAACTGAACCATGGTTCGGTTTGTTTTGGATGATTCCGACTTTCGGACCAAATACAAGTGACAAGTATAGTGTAATGCGTCAGTGTATGGCGTGTGTGGATAAGCGACAAAGAGAGTGGTGGTGACTGCGTTCAAAGCAGACAAGTGTTGGTTTCAGAGCAAAAGGGAAATTAGCAGTTCCGCTGTCAAGTAGTAGTACATGTCCAATGTAGGTTTCAGTTTGTCAATGAATATAACAATGCTTTTTCAGCAAATGGGAAGAGGAGGAAATGGCTTTATAAAGAGTCCATTGAAAAAAAAATCTCAAAACTCCTAATATTTTTCAATTATTTTCCAAGAGGATGAGAAAGAGAGGATCTACAAATCAATCACTGTCAAGTATTGGGAGACACAGCTCATGTAGGTGATGACCAAAGGAATCAGTTATGTCATGTATAGTTGAATAGTTTAGTTTACTTAATTGCAATGTGAAACCAAAACAAACCAGACCAGACCAAATGTATACAGTGTAACAAAAACAAGAATCTTCTCTTAGATTTTCAGGTGTGAAAAGGCCCTAAATTTAGACTGATGGAAAGTTGACACTACTCTGCCTGAGAGCCTAAGGATGCTCTCCTTTGCAAAGGGGGCAAAGGGTCTAAACTTTATTAGCAGAGTGTGCACATCTTGGAAGTTAATTAAAACATTTACACATTGGGCATATGCAAGAATTCTGTGGTAATGTACTATCATTTGTTTCTACACTGTCTGTCAACACCAAATTTTGATTGAACATGCAAAAGCACCCACAAAGTGGGGTCCCATTAGCAACACCCCCCTTAGTTTCTCTTTTTTCCTCCCCAAGTTTTCTATATGGTCTGAATACATATTTTCCCACAGGATGACTTGAGTCAACAGCTGACACCTATAATCTGCCCCCTCACTCTCTATCACACACAAAATGAAAGCCATTGGTTCATGAGCTCCCATTGGCACAGGGTGGGGCAGAGAGGGCTAAAAATAAAGGCGTGTTTCTATTTTGTTTATGGATGCCAAAACAATTGAATCCCTGTTCTAGCCAACGCAGACAGCAGACAGCTGTCAGTGTCTGAGAATATCGAGGGAGGACCTGGGGGAAAAGCGAAAGTGAGCTGCTGCTCCATGTCTTGTTGTGGCCTGTTATCTCACCATACCACATATGGATGATCACTTTGAGGCGCTGATTTCAGCCATGTCCTGACAGGCTGATGACACAGCAAGTGATCTATTTTTTATAGTAACAACGCCTTAAATTAGACTATCTATGTTAACTCGATGAAAGCTGGAAGTTTACATGAGGCATTGAATGCAGCATGCAGCCTGTACAGTGTACACTGTGGTTGTGCACCATGAGTTACTGGCTAAACATGATAGTTAACTTAGCAAGCTAGCTAATAAAATAATGACAACAGAAGGTGGACACTGGGCACCAGAGTTTAAGTTTAGTTAGACTGCTGAAACACACACGAGCCCATGCGTTGCTGTGGAAGTTGCCATGAACTCACTTCACTGATCCCCAAACAGGTTTAACGTTAGCTAGTTAGCATGCCTCTAATTCCGTTAGGTTACCTCAGCGATGCCAAGGAAGCTAAAGCTACATGTTCCGCCAACAAACCAACCGCTATGAGCTAATTACCTGCTGGTGAGGATAAACACCGCTGAAGCCGTTAGCTGCTGAAGCTGGGTCACTGCTAGACTCTTCATCGCTGTACACTGGAGCTCCGTTACCCAGCCACTCCATCACTGCTACGCAACTAGCCTGCTAGCTCCGCTGCTATGGGGTCCGCTAGCTAATGCTAGCTGTGTCTTGGGGACCACAAACAGTTTGCTGTGTGTGGTTAGCTGTCTGTCAGAGTTATGTATAAGCTAATCACCGGTCTGAGAAGTCAGCAGAGCCGACTGGGGGATAGGAGGCACCGCGGCTGTAAATAACGCTGGCTACAACAACAACAACAACAGTCACTGCTCCAAGGAACCCGGCTGCGACTGTTTAAGAGGTGACGCTCAGAGCACGTGGAAACACGTTGACCACGTGACACGCTGACGCCTGTCACTAAAATTAAATACTGACAGCTCTACTTTTTTCTCGACGTTTCAGCTAATTACTAGAGCTCAAAGGAGAAGTCGATTAATCGATTGATAGAAAATTAACTAACTGATAACTAATTAACTAATACAAAAAAGTATTTTAATAACTTTTAAACACTTTTATTGCAAAAAGGCCAAACAATTTGAGGATTTGTTTTTATTTATTATACATTATTGCATGAGTAGCCTCCTAATATACGTTAAACAGCCACAGGAGCCATTTTTATGGATTGATTACTTACTTTTAATACTTGATATAGCTCTGACTTCGTGATACAGGTTTGAAACTCTTTCTTTGCTTCTTTTAAAATCTTACTTGATGTTATGATTTATAGTTTCACAACTCTATGATTTTATGAATCAGTTAATCTTTGTTTTAAACTGTTTTAAATGTCCTTTTTTATTGAATTGCCTTGTCTGTTTTATGTTCATCCTGTCTATTTTCATGTGAAGCACACAGGGCTTATACTACCTTACAGTGTGTCAGAGGATAGTGAGGACAGCAGAGAGGATCATGGGAGTGTCGCTACCCTCTGTCCAGGTACTTTTTCAGAGCCGATGCAAGAACAGGCCTCTGAGCATCATCAGGGATCCTTCACACCCTCTCCCAGACACTTTGAACTGCTGCCATCAAGCAAATCTAGGACCATAGACTGCTTAACAGCTTCCTCACACAGGATGTTAGGATGCTAAGCAGTTAAACTGGACTTTATGCACCTTTTACATACTACACAGCACTGCACATGGTCACTTTAGCTTTAGCTAAAGCTTCATAATAATATAATAAGTTTTTTTGGGTTCTGTCATCTCCACACCTTCTGTTTTTCATTGAGTGATAGCCAGGAGGGGGCGATATTGCTCCATTTACAGATGGTCCATATGCCTTTAACACCATCTGAATCAAATACANCCCCCCGCAAACACTGTTTCATTTTACCTGCATTACTGTTGTATGTTTGGTAAGATGACAATTAAAGCCTAACTTGATTTGATTTGATTTGAGAATAAACTTGAATTGATGACACATGTCAGAAATTCACTTAAGAAAATGCTGCATTACCTCTGTTTGGTGTCTCAGGTCTCAGAGACCTCAGCTGTGAAACATGTTTAGATATAAAGGATTTCATATGCTCTGTAACTGTGATTGCTGTTGGCAGTCTGGTGTTGACTTTTTACGCAGCACGGCCCTTTCCCAAATCCCAAATAAGTCTTTGTGGATTTATATTATTAGAGTTGCAAAAAAACTGGCACATTTGTCCATGAATGACTTCATCATATGTCGATGGATACATGAGGATTTTGTGTACTGTCTATATCTGTATGTTGCTATGTGTATATCTATATTTCTGTGTACTGGCAGTGAAAATAATTTCCCTCTGGGACAGTAAATCATTTATTTAAATGAAACATCGCCTTATTTGGTTTAATAACAATTTTGCAAGGTCATATCTACAGAACTAATTATATTATTAGTGTTATTATTGTCATTATTTAAATAATAATAATAATAAATTACTTTATTTCAAACTAAAAAATAAAATAAAACAAACAAGACAAAGCTAACAGTGTCCGAAAAGGAGTAGGTAGAAGTAACACCTATATAACCCTACCCCTTTCTTACATTTCTTCTTTTAACTCATGTATTATATCAAGAAAACAGTGTTAGAAAATAAATATGCACTCCTCTAACACACCCATTCCTCATCTATATATCTGCCAAAACATCTTTTTGTATAGTTTTTTTTAAATCGATTTAAATTTGTGCTTTGTTTCATCTCAACAAGCAGTCCACTCCACAAGTCCACTTCAAACACTGAAATACACAGACTCATCTGAGTTGTATGAACACATTGTTTTTTTAAATTAAATTCTCCTCTTCATAATAATATAATAAGTTTTTTTGGGTTCTGTCATCTCCACACCTTCTGTTTTTCATTGAGTGATAGCCAGGAGGGGGCGATATTGCTCCATTTACAGATGGTCCATATGCCTTTAACACCATCTGAATCAAATACAGGGCCACTATCAGTTGAATTTGCCAAGTAAGTGCACACATAGAAGGAATTTGACTGTTTAATGTTACTCTCAGTGTACTTGCACAGAAATAGACATACAGCTAAAAATATAAACATTTGATTACTTTGTGCAGATATAAATATGTATATAAAAATATATCTCTGTATGAGAAAACAACATAATGCAATTTTTAGACAGACAATAGTGCAAAGGATGCTGGAATTAATATTGCAACAGGTTGCTGTATGCATTAAGTACATGTATACAGTGAATCAGTGCACAGCAGCAGCACCACCCTCATTCCTGTGTTATTAGCTGGTGCACTTCCACGTTAACTCTCTCCCTGCTGCTCATGTTTGTTTTGTTTACAGAAAGTGAGTCATTCAATGCTGCTAAATAACCAGATAACCTCACCACTACTCTCCCTCTCTTTCTCTCCTGCGAAGGAGCCAGGCTTCCTGCTCTTAGTTCCCAGAGTTCCCGGCTGCTGGCAGTAGAATGCTGGGAATATCCGGAGAGGAAGGGGAAGTGACATCACAGCGGTGACCTTCCGTGCCAGGCCATATCACCTGGTGCTGGCTGGAGGAGAGCAACCAAACACGCACAAACACACACACACACACACACACACACACGTATACACACACAGTTCACCAGAAGCACATACTTCTCTTGTTCTCAGCACACACACATTCACTGAGAGACTGTATTGACACACTTTGACACATCAGTTTGCTTTGCAGAGAGAGAGAGAGAGAGAGAGAGAGAGGGGAAAAACTGTGAGCCAGTTCCCATGAAGAGAGAGAGGAAGCGATAACTTCAAGTGCAGAGAACTTTGCATAGACAGGCTGAGCTAACCACATGTTTGACAGGAAAGTTCCCACCGCGCTTCAGCTGGTTCCTCACATCAGTTCTGTCTGTCTTCCTATTTATTTGCCAGCTTGTACTTGCTGACCATCGAAATAAAACAGAATGACTTCATTTAATTACACAGGATTCAGTCAGTCACACAGTCTACACTGTGCTGTATGAGTCAGCACCCTCAAAGTGTTCTAAGTAAGATACAAAACTTCTAATGAACATGAACTGGGTAATAAGTTCGAGGAAGGAACATCCAAGAAGGCCTGTCATGAAAACTACTTTTGTTGGACGATATATTGTCACAGAAATAGTGGCGATGAATAATATTATCTGTTAATTCAGTTGCATCCAAGACTTATAATGATAGGGAAAACCTTGCTATTTATTCTGACATCGTGTTGGCTAAAGTTTTTGGTGACTTTCTTATGTAAACACACAGCAATATTGTACAATATACGGACATGACCTTGATCCTTTTTGCTGACACATAATTAGCGTGACAGGCCTAAATTCAAGACAGTTAGAAGGATAAAACCACATCTCAGTACTCCCCCTATACTGTCCATACAAAGCTGAAGACTTCCAGATTGTCCACCATGCTGTAGTGAGCATGCTTCACCCTCAGCCAAGCCTTCAGCAGTCCTTTAACACCTGCTCAGGGTCCACACTGCCAACATCCTGAAACTGCTTGTCTCAGCAGCCAGACATATAAAAAGAATGAGTGTGGGAATTTTTCTTTCTGGATAAGTATTTTTAACCAAGTACATCTACTCTACATTTACTAATGAAGTGCAGTTTGATGGCACACGTTTGTCATATTTCAGATCTCCGTGAGTTGCTATTTTCCACCAAATATGGAGAATCTAACTGAGCTAACAAAATGTAGCATCTCCATACTAACAAAAGTTTACACAAAAATCTGGTTCTATAGATCCAAAGAATTTCTATAGAAATGAACAACTTGGCAAGCAGACCAGGCGTCTTTTTGAGACAGGCATTTATTTGTCAAAATGTGTAGCCACAATGGGCCAGTAAAAGGGACTGGGTGTCTAATTGGGACTAGGCTTTAAAAGCAAAGATATATAGAAATGAATACACATTTGTGTAGCAGAACTTTGTCATTTATATTCTTTCCTCCCCCATAAATTATCTCACAACCTTGTGATCCTTTAGGGGATCATTAACGCTGCAGTTCAACCTGGCTGCAGTTCAACCAGCTAAATTATTAAAAAGCTGCTTATAAGTTAATGCATTAGTATTGACAGTATAATAGTGAAATATATACATAATAGTCTGTTCTATGAGCCATTTGTCTGCATAATAAGTACTTTTATTTTTGATACTTTAAAGGAGTAGGGTGTTGGATCTGGTGGCATGGTGATGAGGATTGCAGACTGCAACCTGCTGAAACGTCTCCCATGTGCCGAGTGTGAACTCCAGGTTAGAATTCCTTCAGTGTTCACTGTTCAGGACGATTTTACCACAGAGGTCTCTCCCTCTCCAAAATGAATAGACCCCGGGCTTTAAATCCCTTAAAATTCTGACGAAAGGGCTTCACTTTAGAAATTACTTTTTCTGGGGAGCCAACTGACTTGTCTTGTGTCGGGGCTGTATCCTTGCCACGGTGGCCGTGGGTTTGGTTCCAGCCGATGGCCCTTTGCTGCATATCATCTCTCTCTCTGCCCCTTCCATGCTGTGTCTGTCCCGTCAGTTAGGGGTTCATCACCAAGGGGCTACTAATGGTGGCTAATGCAAAAACACAAGAATCCCAGAAAACGAATGGCCCTATCTAGAGTCAGTGTTTAGTTTGTCTGTTATGGGCTACAATATAGTAACATGGTTCAGTCTGTGGACGAGGACCCGCTCCTTATGTAGATAAAAACAGCTCATTCTGAGGTAAGGAACCCACATTTTTTTTTTATTTTCAGGCTATTATATACTAAACAAACATACATACCCCTTATATTTAGTCCCCCCCCCTTAACTACGTTAAATAAAAAATCCTCAACCCAGAAACAGATCTAAG